AATCATGGTTTTCAGAATTTTCTTTCTCTTTTTTATTAATTTAATTTTTTTATTCATTTTACATACTAACCACAGATCTCTCTCTCATCCCTCCTCCCCCTCCCCCCACACCTGGTTAACCACCCCCCTACCCCTCATCCCCTCCTCCAAAAGAGTAAGTTCTCCCATGGGGGGTCAGCAAAGCCTGGTACATTCAGTTGAGTCAGGACCAAGCCCCTTCCCCCTGCCTCAAAGGTAAGCAAGGTGTCTGACCATAGGTAATAGATCCAGAAAGCCAGCTCATGCCCCAGGGATAGATTATCATAGAGCCTTCACCCAGTAACTGATGGAAGCAGATGCAGAGATCCACAACCAAGTACGAGACCGAACTCTGGGAGTCTAGTGGAAGAGAAGGAAGAAGGATTCTATGAGCAAGGGAGGTCAAGATCATGATGGGGAAAATCTACAGAGAGAACTGAACCAATCTCATAGGAACTCATGAACTTTAGACTGACAGCTGTGGAACCTGCATGGGATCAGACTACACCCTCTGCATACAGGAGACAGTTGTGTCTGGGTCTGTTTGAGGTGCCCCTGGCAGAGAATATTATATTTAACTCATTTAGAATACACATTCTTATTAGAAGCCTGTGGAACTTTGTCTCAGATAACATTTTAGGCCATAAAATTAGTGTTAACAAATAATAAAAGAAATAATACCTTTTATCTTATCAAAACACAGTGGAACAAAACTAGGTAAAAGTAACAAGAGAAACTATAAAAAGTATGCAAATGTATGAAGATTTGGCAGAATGGTCTTGAATGATTAGTTGGTCATTACAGAAATTAGGAAAGAAATATAAAATAGTTTTAGATTTAAGTGAAATGAAAGAGAAACTTACTAGAAATTTTGGGATGTTGCAACTGTACAACTGAGAGAACAGTTTATAGCTACCAGTGTTTATATGAAAGAAAAAAATCAGAGATCTCAGATAAATAATTCAAGAATTTACCTTAATATCTTTAAAACAGAAACAAGTGAAAACTTGAAGCAATGAATGACAGAAATGATAAAAAAATCAGGACGGAAAGGAATTAAATAGAGACTAAAAGAACAAAGCAAAGAAATAATGAAATAGAGTTGGTTCTTTGAAGAGATAAATAAGATTGACAAACTCTTAGCCAATCGAGAGAGAGAGAGAGAGAGAGAGAGAGAGAGAGAGAGAGAGAGACATCAATGAAATGAGATGTAAAAGCCAACCTTATAACAGATACTAAGAAAGTCCAGAGGGTCATTGGAGATTGCTTTGAAACCTGTATGCCCAAAGGCATAAAAATTATAGAATAAATACATAAAGTGTGAGGTGCATAAAACCTAGTAAATCAAATCAAGAGGACATAAATCCATAACAGGGAATGAGATTAAAGAAGTAATTGTTTCCCAACAAAGAAAAGCATTGTATGGCATCAGTGCTGAATTCTTCCAGATATTTAAACATGAATGAACACTTGTGCTTCTCACACTGTTCCACAAAGCAGAGAGGGAGAGAAATTACACAACTCTTCCTATAAAGCCAATAATACCCTCATCCAAAACGAAGTGAGGAAATCTATAGAGTAAATTTTCCTGATGAGCATTGACGATAACTTGCAACAAAATACTTGCAAACCAGATTCTACAACACATTAAAAGTGCTACACTATCAGGAATGCAGGGATGATTCACCATACATAAAGCAATAATTGTAGTTCAACATGTAAGTAGATTCAGGGACAGGCATCGCATAACCAGAGAAAGAGAAAATTTCATTTCTGGGTCCTCTATCTATTCCACCTGGCCTGGTACCTTTTGTGTATCTAAGTTGTTCTGTGAATCATGCTGGTTTTGTTGCTGTGAAACTACAGTATAATTTGAATGCAGATATTGTAGCATTTGCTATTTCTTTCTTTGTTAAGGATATTGTGCTTATTTGGGATCTTTGCTGCTTCCATATAAATTTCTAGGTTTTTATAATTCTGTGAGGAGCAATGGTATTAGAATTTTAGATAACAGACAAGCACCTTCAAATGAACACACCATTTCCTGAGCACTGCAAAGCAAGACAGTGAATGCATTACCACCTCACTATAGGCACAAAGGGGGAAAAAAGGCGGACAGTAAGTAAGCCATGGAGGTGCCCAGCGCTAGTCATTACGAGCCTACAGCTGTGACCTATCTGCTGTCGCTATTAGACCTAACTGCTAAGCACCTGTTTCCAGTTGAGTCACATTAAATGTCTTCCTACTTGCTTGCATGATTTGAAGGAAGACAGTGTTACAAACAATGAAGTGAAAGCAAAGGTCATTCATTCAGAGCCCGTGTGCTCACTTGAGACACCAATCAATCTAACCAGCCTGTGTTTAGAAAATATACTTTTCAAGCTAATGAATTAGTTTTAAAAGGACATCTAAACAAGAAGCCCAATCAGACACAAGTAACCTTCAAAACAGTATTATTTCTCAATTACAGGTAGATAAAATCAGAGGTTAGTGCAGATTAATATATTAAAGAGACTTTAAAAAATTGAGACTAAAGTTGAAAGGCGCCCTACCCACAAATTTTCATGAAGCATAACCTAAGAAAAGCCCAAATGTCACTAGGAATTGGTAGAATCATGTGATGGTCTAATGTGATACTTCATTTTTACATATCCCAGTCTGTATGTATCTACATCAAAAAGAAACTCTTGCTTTGCTCTGATTGGAGGATTTCCAGGACTGCTGTCTTCTTCTGAACTTTGTTTTAAATATGTGTATCCTTTGCTTGTATTTTGTGTTTAAAAAAAAGGAAAAGTACCCCTTATTGTTGAGCATGTTGGCATTGTCCCCTTTATTTTTTCTCTTTTTGGGGACATACGAAGCAAGTTATTTTCTGTATTTTTTTCTTTTCTTTTGTAAACATTTTGGTTTGTTTTGTTTTAAAATGGCTTTATAAAAGGACTTTTGTAAAAAAATTTTTAAAAAATTTTGATGGTGATCTCTTTGAACCTGTAGGACTGTTTCAGATAATATATTCATTTTCTCAATATCAATTTTACCTAACTATGATCATTAGGCCACTCAATCTTCTGACTGCTATTTCTTTCCTGTTTTACTCTTCATTGGAGAGATCTTTTTTTTCACCCTCTTGATTAGGTTTACTTCTGGGTTTGTATTTTACTTTTTACTATATTGTGAATAGTTTATCTTCTAATTCATTTATCGAGAAGTTCATTATCAATATATAGAAAAGTCTTTTGTTTGTTGCTTTTGTATCCTGCTACTTTGTTCAAAGTATTTATCATTAAGGCCTTTAAAATATAGGATCATATCATCTGCAAATAGGCACAACCTGAATTCTTCCTCTATTATTTATATGCTGAAACTGCTATTGGAGAACATAGAGAAAATAGTTCAAGATATAGTTAGTTGGTCTCCTATAGCCCAGTACAAGGAAATGATCAGAAAAGTAAGAGAAAGCCTACAGATCCTGGGAGAAACATTTTAAACTATATATCTGACAGGAGATTAAATCCAGACTATATAAAATACTCAAAAACTTAAGCACCCCCCCCAATAAATCCAATTAATCAGCAGATGGGCAAATATATTGAACAGACAATTCTCAAAAGATGAAATGCCAGTGGCCAATAGACATAAAAAATGTTCAGGATCCTCAGTCATCAGGGAAATGCAAATTAAACTGCATTGAGATTCCTTCTCACCCTAATCAGAATGGCAGTCTTAAGAAAACAAATGACAGTCCGGGCAATGACGGCACACACCTTTAATCCAGCACTCGGGAGGCAGAGACAGGTGGATCTCTGGGAGTTCGAGGCCAGCCTGATATACAGAGGGAGTGAGTTCCAGGACAGCTAGGGCTACACAGAGAAACCCTGTCTCCAAAACAAAACAAAACAAAAAAAACAAAAAACAAAAAAAAGGAAGGAAGAAAAAAATGACTACTGCTAGAGAGGATGTGAGGAAATAATAATCACTGCCTAAAGATAAGAGAAATAATTTTTTATGACTTATTGGTGGGAAATGTGGTGACTCCTCAAAAATAAAATAATATAAAACTACCATATAACCCAGCTATGTAAAACAATAAAACAGACTTACAAGGACAGATGTTGCATGATTTCTCTGAATTTCGGAGGTTATGAATACATAAATACGAAAGAGGAAGTGTGGATGCCAGCAAGAGTGGAGAGGAAGGGCTCGTGATGGTAACCAGGGGCAAATAGGAGCAACGTGAAGGTACACATGCATGAAAATGGTGTCATGAAACCCACTTTGTTTACACTAACCAAAACCAGGGGGTTCTGAATTGTGTGTAAATGCAGGGCATGGACTATATAGCTACAACTTCTTTTGATATGAGACACTCCATCCTTTTCTAGGCAAGTAACCTTTTCCCCTCAAGCCCTGGATTTATTATCCTCCCAATTGAAGTATGTAAGCTCTTATTCTGTAGAGAATATATTGTTTTCTCTATATTTCTATGTGTTTTACTGTAGCCACAATTTGGGGAAAGACAAGAGGACCTGTGTAATTTTTTTAAGTATCTGGTTTTCTAAATCAAATTTGAGGTGTGGGTTTTATTTATCAATGTTTATACGCAATACTAGAGTAACTTGGTATCATACTTTTCCCAGTCATTAAATGATGGATGGATAGGTGGATGAATGGGTGGTGGGTGGTTGGGTAGGTGATGGATGGATGGATGGGTGGATGGATGGATGGATGGATGGATGGATGGTTGGATGGATGGACAGATGGATTAGGTTCTTCTTTGCAGTCATTCAGAGCATCTCACTGAACTCTCTCATTTGTTAATTTGTTATGTTAATATGATGCCAAGGAAATGACTGATTGCTTTAAATGTCACTCAGTCTGTTCTGCAAAATTCAGTCATTTGTTTTTTTGTTTTTAATATGTAAGGCCAAGTGGATTCAAATGTTAAGATTATTAGGAAGAGAAAAATATAATCTAAAACTTACCATTTTCAGTTTTCAAATAAGCTTCTGTGGGAGAAATGATGTTGGCAACTAAAGGAAAGGAAAACAGACATCAGTCAACTGTCTATGGCCATTACTCTACAGTATGTGTGTGTGTGTGTGTGTGTGTGTATTTGTGAATGTATTTATAGACCTATTTGTTCATGTTTGCATGTAAATCTAATGTTAATGGAAAGACAGCCATTAAAATATGAGCCTTGCAATCCCAGAAGCATTAGTTGCACTGTATGTAACTCCGTAGGTGACATTCTTATATGATGTTTCTACATGTGAACATGTTGAAGTTCCCAAAGATTACATCATTATCACAATCTCAATGTAATGCCCAACATTTCCCTGCCAGACCCACTTTTCTTATGTACTCATGGGTCCTAGAAAAGCTTCTGCTTCAAAAGAGAGAATGTGCAAATGCATACTCAATGGAAAATAAATAGAATATTGGTTGACATATTGACCTGCATATGCTTGACTTGACATGTCACACTGTGAAAAAAAATCAAGCCTGGACCAGTGAGTTCCAGGCCAGCCAAGGCTACAGAGTAGGACACTGTCTTTAAAAAAGAGGAAAAAGAAAAACTTGCTAAAATCTCAATTCTTCTTACTATAATATCTGAGGGTCCCAGTGCAGTTATTTCTGGGGATAGATAGATAACCCAAGTTATATTTCTAGTTTTCTGTGTGAAGCTTGAAATAAGACAGAGACACCTGTGAGATTTTTAAAGCAAAAATAATATGCTTAACTATTTTTTTGTTGTTGTTGTTTTTGGTTTTTTCGAGACAGGGTTTCTCTGTGTAGCTTTGCGCCTTTTCCTGGAACTCACTTGGTAGCCCAGGCTGGCCTCGAACTCACAGAGATCCGCCTGCCTCTGCCTCCCGAGTGCTGGGATTAAAGGCGTGCGCCACCACCGCCCGGCTTGCTTAACTATTTTAAAGGATGTTGGAGAAGCAAACACCTATTCTTTGAGCTTATTCTTCTGTGAAATGTGTTCTCAAATGTATGGATTTCCTTCCACTATGCAATTTTATTGAAGAACAAGTTCTGTGTGCACTAAAATGGATTTCAGTGTGTGACTGATAAAAATGTAAATACAGCCATATTTACTTTCTGTCTTCAAGGTCTGCCTTAATGGCTCTAAATATTTTTTTTGTCCTTTCAGTGACTTTATTATCTAAGAGATAAACAAAAATCACTCCCAGCATGAACTGGTTGAGGTACAAAAGAATAGAGTTCCTAATAATATAATCTTTCTAAACCCCCCAGACAAAGGTAATTGCAGTCTTAGCTTCTTGTCCTTTTATAATCATGCCATCAAGTTCTTTTATCAAGACAAACCACACAAGAACAAAACATCTTCCCAGAAACAACATTAAAAGTTGTTGAATTCTGTTACTGGAAAGGCCTTGGTTGTTTTCCTACCATGAGACACACATGGCACACACTTTTTCTAAGTTCATTGTAAGTAAGTTATAATAAGGGGAACCTCTCCTCTGCATATATTCATAACCAATGGTTTTACTCTTCTTTATTTTCCTTGACCACTAGAAAAGTCATAACATAATTAAACTAACAAAATGGCCATGTGAACTTTCAGCCTTGTCTTGCCTCTATCTCTTTAAAATGGAAATCGAATATGGGACTCTCTTGTGATGATTTGCTACGTGGTGGCAAACAGCAACTTCCTTCATTGCTGTTAATTCATTTTCTGTCCATGGAAACCCTAGGTAAAGGCAGGCAACTTTGCAGACATCACTGGCCACTGCTGAAACAAAGTATTCTGGAGGACAAGAATTGCTGAGGACATCTGATGGGTGAATGACAAAGGTGTCCCCATGGTTTGTCATTTGTGTATTTCTTTACTAGATCAAAAGGGTTTGTCAATCACATGGGGGAAAACAGAAGCCTCTTTTTCTCTGTCACTCTGGGTCCTTAGGAATGCTTTCATGACTCATGATAAGATTGTACCCGCATGGAAAGCTAGCTGCTGGCCCACTGCCTGTCTTTTCCCACTCAGCCTTCTGCTCAGCTGTGAGTGTCCTGGACATGGCTCCTGAATAATGCATGATTCTAAACGATGAGGAACAGAATGCAGGCTCTTGACTGCAGCCTTTGGGTCACTACCTCATCCTAAACTATTCATCCACATTTCACTCAGATCCGGCATGCAGGTGACACAGCAAATGTCTACCCAAGAGGCTGCATTTGCAAATGGCAAGAAATCAACTCACCACGGAAAACAGAAATGTGTTCCATATCTTATCTCATCCACACTTAAATTATGAATGCTATGCAACAGTGATATGTAAAACAAAAATCAGAAAACCTCAAGGCTGCCATAAATCTTCAGTAGTCAAATAGTTCTGCCTTTTTTTTTTTTGTTGAATATAAATGTTTTATATGAGCACTATCTTGTCATTTAAAAACTTACTGTAGGTAAAATAGAGTGCATTGAAATTGAATTAGGTAATTTTGTTTATTTTACATTATAGAACATTTCTGAAAGGTGTGTATTGTTCTTGTATCTGAATCAAGTACAGCCAGCAAAAGTGGGAGCAGGGGTTCAGCATTTCAAGCACTGAATGGCTAGATGCTTTCGGGTATGTTGAGTCAATTAATCCATGCAGCAATTCTAAAACATAAGATATAATCTTCATATTTTACATAATATAACTGAGACCAAGAAAATTAAAAGCAAATATTTTGCTTTTTTTTTCCCCTATAACCTTCTCTAAGACAGAACAGCATGGTTTACAATATATATGGTAAGATTTAAGAAAGATTCATTTTTTATCAATACACATTATAACAATATATATATATATATAACATTCCATTTTATAACATATACATACCTTTATCTATGGGAGGAAACAGAATCTCTTGATCAACTCCTCCCCGGTTGTTTTCATGTTTGACAATACATTTATGCTCTTTATCCATTGAATCTTCAGTCACAGTCAGCCAGCTTAGCTTCATGTATGTATCATTCGTCTTCATGCTATTTCCCTCTTGAGATTTCAGAATCTTATCACCATCCTTTTCTTTCCAATATACCCTTATAACATCAGGGAAGAATTTCTCAAGGAGACAAAGGTATGTCCCAGCCTTATGGAGATTTGTTTCAGCAACAGAAGGAAGAAAAATGGTAGGCTTGGGGGAAACATCTGAACCAAAGTGTTTGTCTGTAGGAAAACATAAAATATAAAATATAAAAAGAGAGTTATTAGGGAGACTCAACTGTTTCATGAATTTGACACAATCTGGTGCACTGTGCTGGGAAGACAAATTATGACTGAGTCAGCGCCCACTGTAGACTTCCACCCACCATAGGTTGCAAATATTTACTATTGCCCTGACTTTATATATGCGCAATTAATAAAGGTTTCTGCATGACTTCCAGAAGTCAGCTGTTGACTGGAGGAGCCTAATTGAAATCTGTCTTTAGTTGTTCCACAGGCCACCATGGATTCTTTGCTGCATCTCCTATATTTTCTCAGTTTAGATCACATTTTCAAGATGGATGAAGGAGTACTGGGAATGCTATGTCTCTGAGGACTAGGTTCTACACTTCCCTAATGGCTAGTCTTCCCACCCCTTGTCTCCTAGACTGTTTGGCTAAGTCACTCTCTCATGCATTTGTAATTCAAATAACCCACCCTCTACTTAGCTGATTCTCAAATGTGCCCTCTTTATATTATCTCACATATGAGATGTCATAGGGTGAGTTACCTGTTTTAGTGGCCATTTCCTCCAAAGTACAATAGCACGCATTGAGTTGATCCCTTGCCTGGGCCTGTGGGTTTCTGCCCAATTCTGCTGTTTCTACTGTTTCTCTATCATCCCACAGCATCTCATTTCCACATCTAAACCACTCTAGCTTGGAAACTAGACTATTTTTAAAGTTTTACTTCCAAATGATTTACAGTCTCTAGAATTAGGGAGCAGAACAAATCCACAACTTCTTTTTAACAATACTTAGTGTATTTATATTAATCTTACAAAGTTACAAACTTACACATTTTGTTTGGCTTTAGAAAAACTTTAAATTCTTTGTTTCATTTAAAGTTGAAGCATTACCAAGATAAAATAGAAATGTGTTTCTCAAACTTGTTTTAATATAAATTTATCTGATTTAAGAGACACTTGATCCATTCCTGACATCCAAGTTTAAATTCTATGCTTTTCCTAGAATTTGTCAATACTATATGCCCTGCTATCCTGTCCAAATACGCTTTCACTAATAGTCACATACATTTGATTATTACATAAGTATTACATACTTTGTATATGAGCACTTTATAGCTCACATGTACATATAGCTAAATCCTATTATGTCATTTGTTCAATGTTCATGTTCTCCTTTAATAAAATTATTTGTATCAAAACTTCTTGTAAAATGACTACAGCAATCTTCATTGTGTTCATTTCTCCTCAATTTTCCTACTATTTCCCAATATAGTCATCTTTTTCCTTTCCTCTAATCCTAGAAATAGTTATCATTCATGCCAACCTAACAAGTGTTGTTCTTGTGCTGAAGATTTTCTGATAAGAACTTCACAGTGACTCAACACATACAAAACAACTTTAGAGTTCCTAATTCTCCAGGTTTGGTTGACAACATATGTGTATAAAAAACTTGTCTCTGTGCAAATCTAATGACCTTAGAGACTTCAGCTCTAAACAACTGATTAGTGTGAACCAGTTGAATTTCACTACCAGCAATAGAAACCAAAGTAGAACAGTATTTGGAGAAGCAATTTGATGACAGTCCTACAGAAACACGAGAGGTCACTGTTATTATCGTCATTGTCACCACTAGAGGAATTGGTTTGCCACGATTGCTTCAGCATGATATGTTACTGTCATTGGACCAAGCCTTGCACTTGCTCATGGGAATTAATGCATTGGGGATCTCAGAATCTGAGCAAAACAAAGTCCTCTGTCTTCTCTTCGAATTCTGCTCTGCCCTGACTTTGATGGAACTCCCAACGCTGTGATCTCAGGAAAAGTGCCTTTCCCACACCAGCTTCAGTGGCATCATCTGTCTTAGCTTCATGTTAAGGCAACCAAGAGAGCCCTGCCTGGCTACGGCCTAGTGTGTGTCAGTGCATGGCAACACTTCACTTTTGCCATCCAGAAGAATCATTCTGCTCCAAGTCAGCAGCATGAAATCTGATATTATAAGTGCTAGTTTGACTGGAGTATCTATTGTCTCTTTAAGTTTATTCAAATTAGAGTGGAAGACTTTTTTTTCTATAGTTAGCTGGGAAATAAAGGTCACCTCACCTTCACCTTCTACAAGATGCATGTTAAATTGCAATCACTTTTGGAATCAGGAAATATTCGTTTTAGAAGGAATAAGTATGGTGTAGATCCTGACTGTTATAATGTGAGACTTGTGTTAGGTTTGGTTCATACATTTACGTTATTGAGTTCATACAAATCTATAAGAGATGGCAACCTGAACTGTAGAGAAGTTACTATTTAATTATCTACTAGTCCCAGGTAATGATTTAGATAATTTCCATATTTAATTTCAAATAATTCTTATAATACCCAGTAAAGAGGGAGGTCATTTTCTTCATGGTACAGGCCAACTATGAACGAAAATATGAATGATTTTAACAACAACAGTTGTGCAGACTGTTCATGACATAGTACCAAGTAAAAACAGTCAGATCCAGTATCATAAATCTGCTCTACCCTGATTCTGTAAATATAATTAAAATATACTGGATAAACGACTGAATGTAAGTTTCACAGAATAATGGCCATGAATGGCAGTAGCAGGTGTTTTTTCTTACTTATATATCGTAACAATTCTCCTATGATCAATGGGAGTTTTAATAACTGTAAGAAGAAATCTGTTCCCTTAAACAGTTTTCATGTATAAATCAGCTCTTAGCCTAACGTAATTACACTTTTTAAATATTTCTTTACTTTTAATGAACCAATAATAGTATTCATGAATTTGAACATTTAGCAAATAGATATTAAATAATACTTTTAGTCATTTGATGATTCAGATGAATGGAATGATTAGCATCTAGATGTATTATGACATGATTTTTTTTTTACTAGGATCCAATTCCAACTGATAAAAAGACTTGAGTTATTTCACAGAGTAAATTCATATTTTTTTTCTCTGGGGCCAGGCCTCAGTCATGCTAGGCAAGAATTCTACCACTGAGCTGCTGTTCCCAACCTCAAGGTGTGAATTATTAAGGATGACCTCACAAGCTAGTCCTTGCTTGGAAAATCTCGTTTTGACTTGAGGATTCTTTGACAGTTTCCAGAGCACTGAATTTTAATTCTGCACTATACATCAGAACATACTAACCTATACTTTTCCCATGGTTGTCTCATCATGAGAGTCCAGGCAGTTGTGAACTATGCAACTGAGGAGTGCATTTAATACAACTTAACCTCTTTCAACATCTTCAACATTTCCAGCAAATTTATTGCCAATACAGAAATAAAAGCGAGTAATGTTAAGCTGTCTGGTCACATTATAGAAATAACCCAAGAACCATACCTTAATCATTTGATAATAACATATACAGAATTATCCCCATTATCTTTTGTGGAGAGAAAGGGGTAAGTTTGGCCCCATGACAGAAGCATTTCATTCATGTGATGCTTCATGTAGTCATACAAATTGTGAATGTTAATCAAGTGTCAATGAAAGTGTCCATGTAAAATGTCAAGCCACAGAGCAGGGAATATTCTGAACTTAAAAGATGACAATGCTTGTGACATTGGAATACATGATATCAATATCTGCCACCATTGTGTATTCTGTAACTGGGGAGAAATCAAGAGCCTCAGCCCCAGTGTTTCCTGTGAAAGGAGATAAACGTCTGTGTAATGATGTAGTATAATGACCGAAGACACACACACTCCTTAACATAATGCCTAGCTTTCAAATCTTTTTGTAATGTTATTCTTCTCTTTAATAGGATGATTTGTGGTCACATCCTCTAATTTTTCTTGGCTCTCATTTCAAATATCACTCATCCAAAATGCTTAGACCCACAAGTGTTTCAGATCTTAAATGGTTTCGGATTTTAAAAGCAATAACTACTACACAAATTAAGAGTGGAAAGGATTCCAGAAACCCAGGGTCTCCTGACTTTCTGGAACCCAGAGGTCTTGTGAGGCCTAATCACAACATCTAACCCTCAGGACAGGAAACTCTTTAATGTAGAGTTTGTGCCATGTCTGGCCTTTTTATCTCTCACATTCTGAACAAAAGCTATTCAGCTGCTGAGAGCATGACCCAATGCAGAAGCAGAGCCATAAAGAGACTTTCCATGGAGCTGGGACTCAAATGCCTGTGGAACATACACATTCCATTAAATTGGGTCTTCTTCAGGCAGTACCCATGTGTCTTAGTGCCATAAATTCTGTCTGTTCTCTCATACTACCCTAAGGTGTCAGGTAAATGAGAGGGATGCATTGATATTCTTAGAATTTTCTGTAAGAATTAATGCTTCAATGGTACTTAGAATCTATTCATAAGCAGGAATAGAGATCTTTCAGTTTTCTGAAGAAAGGAACTATTATAATTCCCCAAATGTATAGAGGAGAAATTAATAAAGTTCCATGTTGAGGAGTCCTACTTAAAAGACCTTCCACAGAGAAGTAACCTTATATAACAGCAATACTGGTAGATAGCATAAACACTAAGTCTTCACAGAATTCTAATTTCTACCTGTGTGTGTATTTTAAATGCAGGATTTCAGTTTGCTGACTGACAAGGAAGGAAGAAATTGCTTACAAAGTAGCTTTGACTCTATATCCAATAACTCATAACTGTGAAGTTGTTGTCAGATATGGTTGATCATAATTGGTTTTTATTTTTCTAAAAATAAGAAAAAAATCTCATCGGTTATTCACTACTAAGATAACAATACAGCAGCTTTCTTACCTGAGGGAATTACTATGAGCTTCGTCCCTTTTGAAAATACTTTGGTCCACGATGACCTGTCACACTGCTCAGGGCTTCTACAAAAACATGAATCCTTTCTTGACCTTCAGTACGATGAGCCATTTAGGAACTCTGTCTTAGAAAGTTGACCCGGATTCCTTTGGAAAGTTTTGTGTCATCCAATAGTTTGTGAGTTTCCTTGTAAACTGACTTCACAAACTTCTCTTTTCTGAGGTAGCAGTTACTGGAAAGTATCAACAGACTATGGGAAGGATCAAAGCAGAAAGAGGGCTGGGCCCTGCCACAAACCAACAACTTCCCTAAGTTACCAGGAAACACATTCTGAGAATTAAGTCTCTTTTTGAAATTCCCAGATGTTTAGTCTTGTCAAAACTGCTAAGATAATTTATCAAATATGCCTCTATTCTGAGAAATACCAAGGCCACTCCTGCAATAATTTGGGGGTTTCTTAGGGAGAAAGCTCTCTATAAACGACAATGGAAATATAGCAACCAAGGAAAGTTTAAGGATGATGAACCAAGCCCTCCATGTTCAAGAAAGCCACATGACTTCTTGCCAACGTGATTCATTATCAGAGTGGTGGCACCTGGGAAATGGCTTTTTGGATGACTTCCTATTCTCCCTTGTATGAGAAAATTTTATCTTCCATGGAGTTATAAATCCCTTATTTATACTAGAAAGTGGAAACTAAAATCCAGTGCTCTGAAATTCTGAAAAAAAAAAAAAAGCCCCCTGAAGGCGTTTCTGTGATCTCCTGACACTCACCTCAGGAGGAGAGGACTGGCCAGAAACACCCTGGAGCACAGGTGAAGCACATACCTGGCCTGGCTGACTGACTGCCTTGTCCTCCCCACATCTCACCATCCAGGCCTAAGTTATGTGAGCAGACATGAACTCTATTTTTGAAGATGGAGGACTGTTGGTGATCAGAACAACTGCCTATGGTGATATTTTATTTGTACTGAAATGTGATTTTATTTGTATGTTAATAAATAAAGTTGCCTGGGGATCAGAGCTAATAGCAAGCCTTAGCAGAAGCTGGGTGGTGGTGGTGAATGCCTTTAATCCCAGCTCTTGGGAGGCAGAGCTAAGCGGATCTCTGTGTATTCAAGGATATAGCCAGCATGGAGACACATGCCTTTAATCTCAATACCAACCATAGAAGACCTGGAGGTCTGTACAGACAGGCAGTGACTAGGAGGTCATGTGGTTGGGTTTACAACCAATGAGAAGGCAGAACAGAAACACTATAAAAAGACAGACACACAGGAAGTAGGTCTCTTTTGGAGAGGTAGTGCAACAGCAACAGTGAAGGGTAAGGTTTTTAGCTGTTAGCTATTGCTCTGACCTCTTGGCTTTCATCTCTGTATTGGCTCTGTGTTTCTTATTTAATAAGACGATTGGTTACATCTACAACTGCCCATCAACAGCCCACTCACAGCCACCAACCCAAATGAGAAGACAGGACTGTAGAAGAAAATTATGTCCTGAATGTGGTTTTAAATGTAAATGTTTAAAGATTTAGTTTTATGTGTATGCTTTGCCTGCATATATGTTATGTATAGCACATGAATGCTAAGTGCCAACAGAAACCGGAAGAGGGCAGGAATCCCCTGGAACTGCAGTTTTAGGCACTTGTGAGCCTTTGTGTGGGTGCTGGGAGACAAACTTGGGACCTCTCCTAGAACAGAAAGTACTCTTTATTTATTTGTTTATTTATTTTAAATTTACACTTGGGTTTTTTTCCTTCTTTTTTTAATTTTATTTTACAATATAATTTAGTTTTACGTATCAGCCACGGATTCCCTTGTTCTCCCCACTCCCGCCCCCCTCTCCTTCCCCCCAGCCCACCCCCTATTCCCACTTCCTCCAGGGCAAAGCCTCCCCCAGGATTGAGATCAACCTGGTAGACTCAGTCCAGGCAGGTCCAGTCCCCTCCTCCCAGGCTGAGCCAAGTATCACTGCATAAGCCCCAGATTCCAAACAGCTAACTCATGCACTGAGCACAGGACCCAGTCCCACTGCCTGGATGTCTCTCAAACAGATCAAGCCAATCAACTGTCTCACCCATTCAGAGGGCCTGATCCAGTTGGGGGCCCCTCAGCCATTGGTTCATAGTTCATGTGTTTCCATTTGTTTGGCTATTTGTCCCTGTGCTTTATCCAACCTTGGTCTCAACAATCCTCGCTCATATAAACCCTCCTCTTTCTCACTAATTGGACTCCCGGAGCTCCACCCGGGGCCTGGCCGTGGATCTCTGCATCCAGTTCCCTCAGTCATTGGATGGGGTTTCTAGCATGACAATTAGGGTGTTTGGTCATCCTATCATCAGAGTAGGTCAGTTCGGGCTGTCTCTTGACCATTGCCAGCCGTCTATTGTGGGGGCATCTTTGTGGATTTCTGTGGGCCTCTCTAGCACTTTGCTTCTTCCTATTCTCATGTGGTCTTCATTTACCATGGTCTCCTATTCCTTGTTCTCCCTCTCTGTTCTTGATCCAGCTGGGATCTCCCGTTCCCCCAAGCTCTCTTTCCCTCGACCCTCACCCTTCATTACCCCCACTCATGTCCAGGCTGTTCATGTAGATCTCATCCATTTCTCTGTCATTGGGCGATCCGAGTGTCTTTCTTGGGGTCCTGTTTTCCAGGTAGCCTCCCTGGTGATGTGAGTAGCAGTCCAGTCATCCTTGTTCCACATCTAGTATCCTCCTATGAGTGAGTACATACCACATTTGTCTTTCTGAGTCTGGGTTACCTCACTCAGGATGATTTTTTCTAGATCCATCCATTTGCCTGCAAACCTTATGATGTCATTGTTTTTCTCTGCTGAGTAGTATTCCATTGTGTATATGCACCACATTTTATTTATCCATTCTTCAGTTGAAGGGCATCTAGGTTGTTTCCATGTTCTGGCTATTACAAACAATGCTGATATGAACATAGCTGAGAAAGTGCCCTTGTGGTATGATTGAGCATTCCTTGGGTATATGCCCAAGAGTGGTATAGCTGGATCTTGGGGGAGATTGATTCCCAATTTTCTAAGAAAGCACCATATTGATTTCCAAAATGGTTGTACAAGCTTGCATTCCCACCAGCAGTGGAGGAGAGTTCTCCTAGCTCCACAGCCCTACAGAAAGTATTCTTGCTGCTAAGTCATCTCTCCAGGCCCCAACTGGAAATTTTGGGACAAAATAAGTTTGTGCATTGAGTTCACATCAGTTTATCTTCCAGAAATGTTGATGTCCTTTAATGACTTCTGGCTTCTGGTCCTTAACTAGTCGGAAACTTCTATGAGAAAAGCAAGTAGGCTGTATGTATGTGAATATTATATATATATGCAATTTTTCATTCAGGCTCTCCAGGTGATTCTGACTTGTGCCAAGTCGAGAATTAAAGCTAACCAAAACATTTGCTAAAAGAAGCTTGGCTCAGCTCTGATCATAAGAGAGGTAGGAAGAGGCACTGAGACTGAAATACAAGTGCAGCCACCTTTGTATGTCGTTAGCTCCACACCCTCTCTGGCTCCAGCTTCCTCATTTGCAGTGACAGCTCTGAATAAAATGAGTCCCAAGGACCCACCCAGTCTCACTACCTATGAACCGGTGAATGAGCACTGAGGGTTCTCAGTGGTTTAGGGACTGTGAGTGCAGCTGAGGAGCAGTGATAAGAAGGTTTTCTTACAGGTTCCTTCAGATGGTGAGACACTGAGATCCCAGCAGGCACAGTAGTATGTGGCCTCATCTGCTGTGATAACGTTGTTGATTATCAGGTAAAAGGTACCGTCATTCTTCTCATCTGTTTCCGGGAGTTGGGCTTGTCTTGCTTGTAAGCCTTGACTGAGCTGTAGAAGATTCATTTCAGGGGCTCCCCTTCTTTCTGTTGGTACCAGTGCACAATGGTGTTCTGGATGGGGACCCAGATAGCTTCCAACTTATGTGCATCATCTTGTTTGGTCTTTGAGGAAAGGACAGCTGATCCTCAGATATTCTCAGTTTGGAGTCTCTATCTGAAAAGTGAGGAAGAGAAGTTAGAGATGTTTAAATCATTTTTATCCCCAGTTGGCTCCAAATAAAAAAAAAATCATGAAAGGGAAGAAGGGAGCAAAATCTACTTACAAACCCAAGCCAAAGATAGAAGGAAAAACTCAAGGGTTTGGCATTTCCAGTGACAGTCGCAGTAGATACCAGAGACAGTTAATCCTCAGCTACAGTGGGTTAAGGTGGATCCCTAGCTCTTGGAGAATGGACAGGGGAGAAGGATAAGACATGATTATTCAGAGTTGTGTCACAGGGTCATTTTATCATGTTCCTATTGCAAAGGTACTATTAGATACCAGAAGACCTCATTGTTATACCTATGTTTAGACAAGAGAGTCACTTTCCCCTTGGTAGTGGCAACTGCTCCCCCATCTCTTGTCCATAGGACATTTCAAAGAAACTCTCCTTGACATTTTAACAAACTGATGTTTGTATTTTTTCCATATTATTGTAAGAGGTTTATAACAGTATATGATTATAATAATCATATAGGAAGAGTTGCCTTATTATACACAATATAGAATGAGATGAGAATTCCACAACAATAAAAGAGAATTTCAGAGCCTTGTGAATAGAAAACACCCTCCATAGATCCAACATTTCCTCAGAGTCTTAAGCTTGATTCCAGGTATTCTAATAATCATATGGCTATAGATTACATACGCTGCTGTGAAGGAACACCTACTGTTTTTGTCTTGTTCTTAGTTATTCATTTTTCAGCTAAAACCTACAAAAGGGAAATTTTGTGTTCATCAAAATGTGCTACACAAATGTTTTACTGATTCAGTTTAAAAACTGATTTCTCTCATTTGTAAAGTTATTTCGTGCTTAAATTTGAGAAAGTTATAGAACTAGAGAGAAGGAGGAAGGGAATGAAGATAGGAGAGAGGTAGGGATGGAGAGAGAGAGAGGTAGAAAGGAGATGTTGGGCATGATTGAGATGATACGAAAGTAGGTGTTAGAAAATAGAAACATACAGGTAAATGGTA